ATATTTCTGTTTGGTGTTTTTTTTTAAGACTGAGGAAAAGAGAGATGTAATGTTTCTGGTAGGTCCATTCATTAATCCAGACCAGGTTTCTTAAAATGTCCTGGTCTAAGTGTATATAGTTGAAGTTTTCTAATGTGGTCTGGGAATCCTAGAATACTAAGCCTATGGCATTGAGCAGAGAAGGTACCACGTTGTAGCAGGAAAATGGGACAATAAAGCACTTTTAAAGCATTTAATAAGTTTACATTATTAGTTTGAGGAAATCCAGGCCCCAAAACACAACATTCTGCAGGAAAGAGTTGCCTTTGAGAAATATAAGAAAGGGATGCTCCAGTAGTACATGTTGTAGAGGACATAATTTATAGCTATTTTATTGTTGGCACTGGAATTATCAAACTTAGTTTGGGTTTGTTGTTTTACTTATTGTAAAAAAAATAGGTTAGGTCATACATTTGAAAAGAGGCTATAAAACCATGCTGAGAAAATGTGAAATTAGAGTTTAACTTTCAAACGCTGTCAGCATATAAGGACAGAGGGATGTGCACCTTGTAACCCTTTCCCGAGTGTGACTTACATGTCCTTAGATGTGTTTGTGTTGATGTAATTTGATTGCCCCATTCCAAAGCAGATTATGTACTTAATTGTTAAAAAAATATTAATAGGAATGATGGATAAATATATAGTGGCACATGGATAAACTAGTGCTTAATAATAATCTTGTCACTGAGTCCTTTGCAGCCTACTATCTACAGTTAATTATTTGGCAAACGTTACTTGAGAAATAATCAGAGAATTTTTATAAGGCATGGAGTGGACTCATAGTTGTGTGAATGGAAATCTGATGCTCAAGGACATGCACAAGAACACTCTCCCGCCCCAGCAGCCTACCAAAAAGCCTCTCCTGAAAGCTGAAGCTAGAGACTTTTGTGCAGGATAATCAAGTGGAATTTGTACAGAGTATCACAGGGATTTCTCTTCTGCCAAAAAGGTTTTTACAGTGGAAAGCAAACAAGAGGGAAGTCCCATTGTGTGTGCGCTTCTGGATGCAACTGATAATGAGCTAATCATTATTCTGCCCCTTCAATATATTGGGAGGGAGGAAGGAACACAATAGAGGCTGGGAGGGAAGACCACAGCAGATCCGAGTCAAACTGGTGTCACTAAGAAATAGAAATAGCTCATCATGACCCCTTCTGTTTAGCTGGCAAATTAAGCATGAGGTATTAAAACAAAATTCTTCTTATTTTTCTTATTTTTCTGGAATAAATCAACTGAACTTAAGATAATAAATTGATATTGGTTTGCTTGCTGCACCTCACCAATCAGGCAAGAGGCTCACTGAATTATTGCATCATCTTACCTTTGCATGGATCCACTTGCAACTTTATACTCTGCAGTGCCAAATATTTAGTGACAACATGTCTAACATTTCACTCTGGTAAGGACAGCTTGCATCCTGCTGGACCTGAAGGAAGGATTAAAAGCAAAAGATATCAGTTGCTCAGGCAGTTAAGGAGGCAGATTTCCTAAGTACTTCACACTTGAGATAAACAGCATCACTTGGGAAAATGCCCTAACACTTTTGGACTCCTGTGTTTTTAAAAGGCAAAATATACAAGAGAATAAAGCCATTTTATTGTTAGGTGTTATGTACAGCTACACTTTTTCAGTTGTGGCAAAATACATTTCTTATCACTGTTTCTCAAAATGTTATTAGATGAGTCACTGATATTAAGTACAATGCTGCATGTATACTTTCTGTGACTGCTCATAGCCATTACTTTTTAAAGTCTAGTTGGAAATAAAGCAAAGGTGTATAAAGTTCATTCACTCTTATTTTACACTTCTAATAACTCTTAAAATATCTAAATAATATTAAGTAGTTACCTTAATTCGTGAGATATAGACATTATGAAGCTGGATAGGAACCCAAGCGCCATCTATTCCAGTCTGTGCCAATAGAGGATTCTGCAACCAAAGTACATAAAATACTTTAAACTTAACCAGTTGTGAATACATTTGTTGTATTGCTTTTTATATGCATTGTGCAGTGGGAGGAGTATTTATTAAATAAAATAAGCACAACCGCTTTAATAAATAACTGTGAACAAAACTATCCTTCATTTAACAACATGGAAATCCCGTAACTTAATATACAACAGGATTTTAAGTGGTTTTATTGGTTGTATTTTGGAGTAAATTCAAAATTTATCAAAATAATAATCCAGTTCCCTCTCTGAATGTCTTTAAGATCTGGAAGGGTTTGATTCCGTAATACCAGTTGCTGAAAAACTTAGCCACCCGACAACTACCAGACCAAAAGCTACTGGCAGAAGACCTCCTTCGCAGTCATTCACATCTGTAAGTACTGCCAAAGAACTGCATATTTTATCTGTCTTCCTGATAAATTCAGTAATCCAAATTAACAACTTGGCTGTGATTTAGTTTTTCTGTGTTTTCAATGCCCAGATATTAAGATTGTCATAGGCCCAGTGGATTTCTGTTTCCACTAGTCTGCTTACAGGTAGTACTTAAGAAATATTTAGTCCAAGAATCACCAAATATATTTGTCATAGGGCCTCGGCAGACGACTAATAG